CCCCAAAACCCCAAAACCCCAAAACCCCAAAACCCCATTTTTACCAATTTATATTGAATCTAAGATGAATCTTTGTCTGGGTTCTCTTCCTCTTTTGAGAATTGGACTAATGGATAAGACAGAATGGTAGACCTTGATCTCGAGAAACTCTTGCTTAATACGTTGGTGGGATGATTCACCCAGTCTTTAGGATTTTGTAAAACATCTAGAATTTTTTCTTCCTCTTTATTTTTAGGTTTATAGTTGTATTTCCATGAGCAAGACATTGGGAGAGACATCAAGATGTTCTCAATGTTAGCATTTGGTGTATGCAGACCAAATTTTGTACCTCTATCGAAAACAAGATTGAACTCTGCATATCTGGATCTTCTCCATTTCCTGAAATCTTCATGATCCTCTGTGTAAGGGGTGTTCTTCCTCCTTGCTACAATTGGGCAATATGATTCTACAAAAGAGTTTCCGCATTCTTTAGCAAATTCAAAGATTTCTCTAAATGGTTTGTCGTTGAGGTTCTCGAAGAAAATTCCTCCGATTCCTCTAGATTCCTTCCTGTAAGGGATATAAAAGTATTTGTCTCAGATATCTTTGTATTTTTGGTAGTAAGTCTCATCGTGCTTATCGCAAGCTTCCTTAAGAACCTTGTGAAAATGAATAGCATCTGAGACATTGAGGTAGATTGGAGTAAGATCTCATCCTCCACCAAACCACCAGTCTTCGATCTCGCTTGTCTCTTTATGAATGATTATCAGTACCCTATAGTTGGCATGTACTGTTGGTACGAAAGGATTCAGAGGATGAATAACAAGACTTAATCCACAAGCAAACATTTGGTAATTATCTAGACTATCAGCACTAATAGTTCTCATATGGTTTTGATCACTCATGGTCTTGTAAATTCCTGGAGTGATCTTGATAGTCAGTTGAGAGACGTTGACACCAGCTTTCTCATATGTAGTTCCGTTCTCCACAATACATGCCGACCCATTACCCTTATTATGTTCTATATAAATTGATAGATTCCTTGATCACCAGAATTCCAGCTTACCTAGATCTTTTTCCCATGGATTTTTGACGAATTTTTTCTCTTCATGCTCTTGTAGTCCAGCAACGATCTCGTCTTGGAGATTGAAGATGTACTCCTTAAACTCTTCGATGAACTTGGGAGAGGGCTTCTCCAAGTTCTGCGTAATACTTTCAGAAGTCTGGGTAGTCTCCATAAGAGGGTTCAATTAAATTTATAAGTCATGGGGTTTTGGGGTTTTGGGGTTTTGGGGTTTTGGGG